GTGGAATCTTAGTTTCCTGACCAGGGATCAAACCCATGCCCCCTGCATTGGGAGTTTGGAGTCTTAACCACTGGACCTCCAGGCCACATTTTCATTTGACGTGAGCCTCACAGATTATGAAACCTGTCCTAGGGCTATTTTGAGCTGGGCCTGCTGGGGTTGTACGCATTCCATGGGGAATATATCAGAGGCTACCACACGGGACAGGCTGGAGGCCATGTAGTTAGGGTTTAGGGGTCTCCCATTTTGACTTTGCACAGAGTCATTCTGACTTTTGCCTTTGTACATTTTTATACACAGGGTCCTCCTGCTATAAAAGGACCTAGTTATTTTCATTCTACTGCCATCTGATAGAAGAAGGCTATAGAATTTAGAGAGATTTAGTGGATTACCCCAGGTAACCCAGATTATTAAATGACAGAGCTATACCTCAAATGTGACCTCTTAATTCCCAGTAACACTTTGGCATTTAATATTAGATTCCTGTCCATATCGTTTAAATAACTTGACTAGAATGTAGTTTTATCAAAGCCAAAGAATATTGCTTGGCTTGTATTTCCAGGAAAACCTGAATTCATTCATGGAGGTACTACCTATAATGCCATCTGGACATTTCAATAAATCTGTACAGCTGTTTGCAAGAAGACTGGGCAAGAGAGGGTGAAAAGTGCAAACAAGAGAATATCACTACTAGAAAAACAAGTGCACATTCCTGAGTAGGCAGCCACGAAAGAATAAACATGAGTGCCCAGTAAATTTTATGAAAAAGTGTTCAACTTCATTGTAGTCAAAGGCATGAAAATGACAACAATCTGTTATACAATACGTTGATAAATTTAAAAATATTGAGGGTAGTTGGCTAGGAGGGGCAAAATGAACACTCATACTCTGTTGGTGGGAGTGTGAATTGATTCCCCCTTTTTGGAGGGGATTTTGGAATACTTTTCTAGATTTTAAATAGGCACACTTTTTATCTGGATATCTAGGAATTTATCCTATAGCGAAACTCAAATAATAGCATAAATTTATTTGTAAAAAGATAGTCACTGTCATTTTAATAGCTTGGAACAGTGAAAGCAGAGGCATCCTGTCACCTGGCCTCATGTTTACCTGTAGAGGGACCTTTCCCAGATTAGTGTACCTGGCCTTTTGCCCCACGTCCTCACTTATGTCAACCCTGGGAAGGAGTGAAGGTTTTTATTTGTGTGTTTGGTATAAAATGCTGAGCATTTCTGTTTGGCCCCTTCCACCCTCTCCCCTTGCTTGGCTCCAGCCACCGTCAGTGAGGTTGTAGTCTCATCTTTTTTTTTTTAAATTAATTAATTTTAATTGGAGGCTAATTACTTTACAATATTGTAGTGGTTTTTGCCATACATTGACATGAATCAGCCATGGGTGTACATGTGTCCCCCATCCTGAACCCCCTCCCACCTCCCTCCCCATCCCATCCCTCTGAGTCATCCCAGTGCTCCAGCCCTGAGCACCCTGTCTCATGCATCGAGCCTGGACTGGTGATCTATTTCACATATGGTAATATACATGTTTCAATGCTATTCTCTCAAATCATCCCACCCTCGCCTTCTCCCACAGAGTCTAAAAGTCTGTTCTTTACATCTGTGGCTCTTTTGCTGTCTTGTATATAGGGTCATCATTACCATCTTTCTAAATTCCATATATATGCGCTAATATACTGTATTGGTGTTTTTCTTTCTGACTGACTTCACTCTGTATAATAGGCTCCAGTTTCATCCACCTCATTAAAACTGATTCAAATGCATTCTTTTTAATGGCTGAGTAATATTCCATTGCGTATATATACCACAGCTTTCTTACCATTCATCTGCCAATGGACATCTAGGTTGCTTCCATGTCCTAGCTATTATAAACAGTGTTGTGATGAACATTGGGGTACATGTGTCTCTTTCAGTTCTGGTTTCCTTGGTGTGTATGCACAGCAGTGGGATTTCTGGGTCACATGGCAGTTCTATTTCCAGTTGTTTTTTTTTCCAGTTTTTTAAGGAATCTCCACACTGTTCTCCATAGTGGCTGTACTAGTTTGCATTCACACCAACAGTGTAAAAGGGTTCCCTTTTCTCTGTACCCTCTCCAGCATTTATTGTTTGTAGACTTTCTGATAGCAGCCATTCTGACCGGCGTGAGATGGTACTTCATCGTGGTTTTAATTTGCATTTCCCTGATAATGAGTGATGTTGAGCATCTTTTCATGTGTTTGTTGGCCATCTGCACATCTTCTTTAAAGGATCATCTGTTTAGTTCTTTGGTCCATTTTTTGATTGGGTTGTTTATTTTTCTGGAATTGAGCTGCATGAGCTCTCATCTCCTTTTGATCTTGTGGGGCAACCGGTAGTTTTGAGGTTTAAGTTAGATTATGATGACTGTGGGTATCTTATTAGTAAATGCATTAGATTCTCACACCTAAGCCACATTCTTCAGAATCTGCTTCATCAGTAATGAAAATGATATTTCTATATCTGAAACCTGTGTCTTTATCTTTCAGTTATTCTGTAATACAATAGGTAAATGGAGAGCAGAGTATTATTGATAGGCTCCTTCAAACCTCAGTAGCAGAAAAAAATTCTAAACAATCATAAGGTCCATTAAATAAATTGTGGTACTCCCATTCAATAGAACACCATGCTGCCATTACAAAGAATGAGGTCATCTTATATACAGAGAGAGAAAAATGTCCACAACATAATGCCAAGGAGAAAAAAGGGCAACTTTTGTAAAAGCTTACATAGTAACAGCTCATGTTTGTTTAAAAAGTTTGCATATGCCCTAGCAGAATGTTTGGGAAAATGCACACTGACCTGTTAACAGTGGCAGTTGTTGTTTAGTCACTAAGCCATGTCTGACTATTTGCAACCCCATGGACTGTATCACACCAGGCTTTCTGTCCTTCACTGTCTCCCAGAGTTTGCTCAGACTCATGCCCATTGGGTTGATGATGCCATCCAGCCATCTCATCCTCTGTCATCCCTTTCTCTTCCTGCCCTCAATCTTTTCCAGCATCAGAGTCTTTTCCAATGAGTTGGCTCTTTGCATCAGTTGGCCACAGTATGGGAGCTTCAGCTTTAGCGTCAATCCTTCCAATGAATATTCATGGTTGATTTCCTTTAGAATCAACTGGTTTGATTTCCTTGCTATCCAAGGGACTCTCAAGAGTGTTATCCAGCACTGCAGTTTGAAAGCATCAATTCTTTGGTGCTCATCCTTCTTTATGGTCCACCTCTCACATCCATACGTGACTACTGGAAAAACCATAGTTTTGACTATATGGACCTTTGTTGGCTAAGTGATATATCTGCTTTTCAGCATGCTGTCTAGATTTGTCATAGCTTTTCTTCCAAGGAGCATGCATCTTTTAATTTCAGTGGTTACATTCAAAGTCAGGTGTGGTGGGAAGCTTTCACTTCTACAATATATTCTGTTTTGTTTGAGATTCTTGCTTTGTTATGTTTTACAAAGAATAAGAGTTACCTTTGTGAAATTAATAAAATCTGTTTTATGTTTCTAAAAGAAAAATTTCTGATAGTTCTATTACTGCTGATATTAGATAATTTGATTATCAGGGATTGTACTTAATTAAAAAAATTTTCCTCATCTTTTACAAAGTAAATGAGAGCTTTGAACATGTTCAGAATGTATGCCCTTAGGCTAGAAAATGATACTTGGCCATATTTACCCTGGGTGTTATTTTTGAGTTTTTATATAATTTCTCAATTTAATTCTCTCAACTCACAGGAATCTTTTCTGTTTGACTTTCTGTCTTCTGATAGTAGATGCAATATAAGTACCAAATCATTTTATATAAGGGACTTGAGCATCTGCAGATGCTGCTTTCCGCCAAGGTCCTAGAACCAAGACTAGGACTGAGGGTACCAAGTGATGACTGTATACTGATTGTATAAAATTTGGAAAATATAGAAAAACACAAAGAAGCAGAGAGATAAATGGCTTACGATGCCACCATTCAGAGACTAATATTCTTAATATTTTGTGTTGTTTATTTCCAATTTCTCCTATATGTATTTGTACATGGCTGATAATGCGTTATGCATTCAGATTTGTAACCTGCTATTCATTTACTCAGTGTTATATCATCAACTTTCCCCTCTTGTCAAAAAGCTTCATAAGCACCATTTTGAAAAGCTGTTATATCTTTTTACACAGATGTATTTCATTTAGAGTGATTTGAAATGCAGTCTGAACATAGGTGGTCCTAGGGTTAATCTGGGTGGTAAATTGGTATCTCTGTGGTTCATCAGGATTTTCTATAGTAGTTTCAAGATGGCTGCCATGGTTCCAAACCACAGTAGGTTAACGTCCCTACATACTTGAAACCAATGCCAGAAACAAGGGGGCAAATAGAAAAGAGATTTAAAAAAATATGTGCCTTTTTGGGGTGGGGAAGGGGGGGAGAAGAGGAAAACTTTGCCAAGTTTTAAGAGCTTTAACAATATTTATGTCTTTGATTTAGTAATTCTACTTTGGAAATCCCTCTAAGGATACTTTCTGTTACATCTGCTTCTCCAGAACTGGTCTCATCCAGTTCTTGGACTAATTATGATTTCCCTCTCAGATTTGGCCACTGCCACCTAAGTAAACTACTAAGGAGCTAAGAAGATGAATTTGGCTATTGAGTTGGTAACTAAAAGAGTTATTTCCTCCTTTTTATTGGAAATAGCCTTGCATATATTAATAAATATATGCACTTGAGTCTTTGTATGTTGGTTCATTTTCTGTGAAGAGATTCACAGAAGTAGAATGACTAGATTAAAGGGTACAAATATTTTGGTGACACTAGATTGTTATTACAGAAATTTTAATATTTTTCTTTTTACTAAATTCTAGACTTACATTTGAAACAAGACAGTGAGATACTAGATTCCAGCATCCTCCACCCCTCCCTGCCAAAAACCCAAAACTAAACACCACAGAAACCCTAAAACTTGTACATTCTCAAAATTTTCTTTCAGTAATCACTGAATGAACTGAAATTGGACAACATCATAATTGCTCTTTCTGTCACTGAGGAGAACAAATCTGAGGTGGACGTCATCACTCATGGAGAGGTATGGTGCTAACTGGGCTGATCTGTCTTCTAGTTCTCCTTCTGTATCCTTTAGAGCATCTTATCTTTCACCACTTGTACGTAAATATAGACGATCAAGTGACACTCAGTTGATTTTGTATTATATTATTAAGCAGAAGATAGAAAAGTATAAGACGTTAAAACTTAGTCAAAAGAAGGCATTTAAAAATATCTCTTGTTTTGCTATATTTTCACTCTCTGCCTTAGATGATTTAAGTCAACTGCCATCAGATTTCTTCCCCCTATAAAAGAATTAGTCACACTGGATTCTTCTAGGAGAAAGAGAAATATGGTTAGATACTCAGGAGAACTGTTGTGTATGTTAAATAAAATTTGGATTCTAAAGAAAAGTGGAAGGATTTGTTGGCATGACTCTCTAAAGGATTACAGCTTTGCAAGTGGGTGTGCTAATTAAGTCCACTTCATTTCTCCACGTGTGTCTGTTTTCACTTACCTTGAAAAATTACAGAACCAATGGCACTTCAACAAGACCTCTTCCTGCATTTATGCAATTGTCAGGACCTACTGATGAATTTGAAGTTCCACTCCCTCGAGAACTGGTTGAGATTTCTCTCACATATTTCTTAAGTTTTATCTTAATCTTGTATAAAAGATAATCTTCAGAAATTCTTCCCTCAGTAGACTGCTCTATTTTCCCATAAAATACACTTGCAAATAGGTCTGCAGATTTTTCAACACAATGCCTGCAGCAACATCCATGATAAATCCTTTCATGGCCTCAGCTTTCTGTAACCTTCTCCATCCCTCACAATGACACACACTTTTTCTCATTCATCTTTTATTACAATTCAATATTGTACTTGAATATCATTAGCTTGTATGCAGCATTCCCCTTTTTTTTCTTTAAAGGACAAACTGCTGTTGTTGTGCACATTTCATCTGGAAATTGACTTTGGTGTTATAGGTTCTAATATATTTACACAACAGGTACAGAAAGGTATTGGAAAAAAGAAGAAATATTTTTAACATCGTAAACCTCTAGCAAAAATATGTGTGTAATAGAATCTGGTACTGTGGTATTACACACATTACAACTGTCACTGTGACTTAGAGCCTTGGTTTAGCTGAAAGAAAATCTATAACCCCAGAAATGCAACAATGTCTGAGTCACAGTTCAGGGTAATAAATGTTTTTCACAGAATACTATAATCCATATTTCCAAAGCTGATGCTACAAAGGAATTTCTACTAGAAATCTTTCAATTTCATGGGTGGAGGCTCCAATGCAGAGAGAAACAGAGAAAGAGGAAAAAAAAAGCATTTAGAAAAAAAAATGATGCACTTGAGTGACATGATGGACTGCCAGATATTCAGAAATCTGGTTAGCAAATTTGGTTGCCATGTACCTCCTCTGATAAAAGGCCACAGAGACCAAACTTTTATTTGAATGACTTTAAGAGTGGACTGGTTCTCTTTAAAGGACCTGTTCCCTTTAAGAGATAATTGTTTTATGACCAGAACAACTGGGAAGAGGAATCCCAGATGTGGCTCAAGAAGGGCTTTCCTCGAACTGGGGAAATGAGGGAATAATTAGATTTTGCAATTTTATGGTCTTTGATTGGCCTGGGCAGGGGTTGATAGTCTGAAGAACATTCTCAAGTGTCTGTGATTGCCAGCTGTGTTCTCTTGACTTTGTTGGGGGTGGGAGCAAATAGGCCAGGTCTAGGTTGGCAAACAGGGAAGCAAACAGTGGGTCTCATGGAAGCATTGAAAAGAAGATGGCTGGGTTAGTTTGGCAGGCCTTGTTTTTGGCCAACTATAACAGTCATTTCTGAAAATTCAGTAGGAACGAGAATACTTTTTTTGTGAATGTGAGGGAGCATGGGGACAGTGTCTGCTTGAACCTTGGGATTTGATATTAGAAAACAAGCCTGGGTACTACACTCTGTGTCACACAATTTCTGTCCCCTCCAGATCTGTTAAACTCCTACTCATGCCTCAAGATCCATTCAACTGTCCCTTTAGAAATTCTTTGCTCCCACCTTTCAGCTCCCAAAGCAACTAATTTGTATTCTTTTCATACCACTTATGACATTTCGAATTTAGTTGCTCACATGGGCAGCAGATCAATTTGTTGAAGATCAATTCCCCAAAGTCATTTAGCCATATTAAATTCACCGCAAGTCCATTGAGGAAACCAATTTGCTTAAAGTGAATTTTATCTGTAAGTCTGTGATATATTCATCATAAGCTCCTTGAAGGCAGAAACCTTGCTGATTCACACCTGGTGCTCCTGAGTATTATTTGAAATATTGACGGGCTTAGTAGATGCTTAGCACTTATTGAATTTAATTGAATATAATTGTAATATAAAATAGCTTCATGTTTTTCTTGCTTTCTATATGTTCACATTTTCTATCTGGCTTATAATGAGCAGACCACACCTGGACAGACTATATGGATCCTGAGAAGTGTTTTTCTCCCATGCCTGTCCTGTAGGCATAGAGTCTACATAGATGTATGTGGGAATTTCAGCTCTTTTTTGGGTTTAGTGCCTCTTAGCCCTTCCAATAGCTTGTGTTTCGCGTGCTTTACTATAGCTTCTTAAAAAAATTCATGTTTGATTATAATTTTTTCTTGTCCCTTTCATTTAGTTTCATTGTTGCTTCGTTACATAGTTGATTCATCACTGTTAGTTATGAGAAATGCATTGGATGACTTTTTCTGTTCTCTCTGAGAACTCAATGTCTCAGATATCAACAGTACACAAAGTCCAGGGAAATTAAGGCAAGTAACTGGGACCTCTTTGGAAGAAGGTAGTGATATAGTAACAGTGTTGTATGCCCATCAACAGCACTCCATCCCTTCCCTGCCAAAGATCCCCAGATTGCTAAGGTACTGGGCGGCCATATGCCCCAGAGATAGTGGGGCCCTTTCTAGCTCCAGGGAGAGAATGAATGAATAATCCAAGTCAATCCTAGTGATCCATTCACATGTGCCAGTGAGTGGCTCAGGAGTGGGCATCAAGTCCAACACTGGCCAATGAGATATAAGAGGACACCTCTTGTGAAACTTCAGAAGATTTTCTCCCTCCTAAGAAGGGTCGCACCTGGGAGGTTTCTTTTCTGCTCTGAATGTTGCTCTGTGAGGATTTGGTCCTTGGTGACTATTTCTTCTGATCACAAGGAAGGAAGCCAGGAGAAGCACCCAAAGGTAGAACCCAGACAGACCCTGACACTGAGCCACAAGTGCCCCATGATGCAGCTGACTCACCTCAGACTTATGTATTTAAGCCTTGATACTTGGGTTTTCTGCTGAAAACATCCTAACTAAAAAAAGTGTTATGGTTTACCAAATAGTTGAGTCCCCTGACAATTAATATTTGGTAGATGTCTTCTGAGTCCTTTAATCCCAGCCCACCATGAGGCCTGTGTTACTTTAAAATCAGCCAGTTCTGTGATCCAACTCTGGTGTGCCATCATTTACTAGCCATGTGATTTTTAGCAAGTTATTGAACTTCCCTGAGCCTCATATTCATTTTCTGTACACATTACTGGAAATTTGAGGCTCTTACTAGCCCCTGCTCCATCCCTGACCCTCATGACAGCCAAGCTGAATATTTTGGAGAATTTTACTTCGAATGTTGTTTTCCCATCATCCTGGCTTCTGGGGGTTTTATTTGAATCAGTTGCTGGGCTGAGTCTGGAGGAGAAGCCACTGCTGCTCAGGGCAAAGGGAACGTTGAAGGGAGAGCAAAGACAGGTCCAACCGCCCTCCGTTGCCGTGAGCTTGAATTGATCCTAGGAAGGCAGGAGAACCTTGGCTGCAATCCTCCCACATAACAGGAAGTAGAGAAAAACCAGTGTATCAGTCAGAGTCAGATGGCACAGATGGGGAAGTTAAGGGGAGATTGATAACGAGATGATTTAAAAAGGTGTGGGCAGGTTTAAAGGGACTCAGTTGCTACTCCTGTGCTTGAGCTGGAAATGGCTACCAGAAACTCTTGAGATCCACTTCTATCAGAGAGAACTCTCTGCCAACCATGGCCGCCAAGGAGGGCTACCTAACAGGGTCTACCGCCTTAAGTAGAGGAGTGCAACTATTGACAACCCAGGGAGAATAAATTCATGTGTTTTACGTTTTCCCGTGCTCTAGTTTCCTCCAGTGTCTCTTACTGATGGAGCGGCAAGGGTGTCCATTGATGTAAGCTAAACAAGTCAGCCTCCTCAGGCACAGATTAGGGTGTGAAGGGTGGAGAACAAGTTTGGAGGGGCAAGTGATGAATAATATCAATCTAATGAATAAATCAGTATAACTTGATTTTGATGAACAGTGCAATGCTATCACGTTACATAACTTTCTCCGGGATCCATAGCTAGGAAGTGGTGGAGCTGGGATTTGTATCCTGGCATTTGCTCTGGAGTCTTTGCTTAGGGTGCTATGTGATGCAGACTTTCAATGAGTCCTGGGTTTTGAGATTTTGCCCCTGTTCTCTCCATGTGTATTAAAAAATGAGTCAGATTCTCTGCACCAAAATCACCCCTTCTTGATGCTGTTTTCCCTACTGCTGAGCATCAGAAGATTCAGTGTTATACACACTTTATTTCATCTTATTATAATTAAGAATGTCTTTACAAAAGAGTTTAAGATTTACTCATATTTTTAATGTGGAGAAAAAGAAACTGTGTAGGCAGAGAGCAAGATTATTCTAAACCTCCTTGCCAAGAGAACTGTGAAGTAAGAAACTGAATTTGATTGCCTTGATTGGCCCCTATTTATGTTTATTCTTCAGTTTAGGTGGTCAGATATTTTTTGCTCAAGAACTCTGTATTTAGTCAGGGTTCTCCAGAGAAACAGAACCATTAGGATAAATGTACACATATGTATATATATATATATATATATATATATACATATATGTAAAGAGATTTATTATGAAGTGTTGACTCACATGATCATGGAGGCTGAGAGATCCCATGATCTGCCTTCTATAACCTGGAGGCCCAAGGAAATAAGTACA